TAACCATGTAAAGCACTTTGTGCTACATTCTTTTTTTGTATGAAAAGTGCTTTATAAATAAAGATTGATTGATTGATTGATTGATATTAAATATAACAATAATAAATAAAATCACATCTCCATATTGACATGATATATACAAAGTAAGTAACAATTAAAGCCACAAAACCTATGTTGTTATCACAATAAACAAACGGGGATTTCTCTAAGCGTGTTGATCATAATCACTGATCGTCTGGTCTAATTTGTAGCTTTGTTTAAAATTGTGCAAAGCTTGTTTCTGAAACTTCAGTACAATTCGTGCCCAACTACTTCAAATTATTTAGTGTTTCACGAAGCATTACTTTTCACTAGACTATCACTAGTCCTAAGTATTTTGATTGCTTAACTACAGACACTTCAAGTCTCTTATTGTGATGTAAATTAAAGACACTTGGAGGTTAACAATGACTATTAAGTTGTAAAAGCTTTATTTGTAATGCGACGTAATCGTTGTGTCCGCCTTTGCTGTTGTTTGATTGGTTTGACGAGAACGTATCCGTGATCTGATTGGCTTTCAATGACACAACACAGTTCCGCAAATCTAGTCTGTTTGTGTTTTGACTGTTTTTTGCAGAGAGCTTCAGAGCACCACGAAGTGTATACACAAGGAGACTGTCAGCGTTCAGCTCCTCGGTTCGTAACTATAGCTGCTAGCTATAAAACATAATGCTTTATTGAAACATGACAAATGTATCTCCAGCTGTTGGGTTTTAACTCTATTCTTCTAACACTATAAGGGACTTTTATCAGCTAATGCTAGCTAGCTATGTTAGCCGTATGTTATCTAGTGAGATAACTTTCGCGTTAGCCAATGGCTGTGTTGTGTTCCCTTGACAGCTGTTACAATTGTCACCCGAATGGGTCCGCTAGCTGCTAGTGGTACTAGCTCGCAGAATAAGAGTTTCGTGTATGTAACGGAGGCTAGGAATGTCAAGCTTCTCAGGCATGTTGTTTACTGTATGTAGCTTTGTCTCTACCGCCACACAAGCTTTTGCCCTGTGTGATTATAACGGTTTTCGAGTGGTCTTATTAGCCCCGGTAGTTGCTTGGGAATGCTTTCAAAGACAAAACAAGGATAACTGAATGTGGTTTACTAAGTGGCTAAATGCATAAAGACCCTGTGTCATTAGTTTATTGGGATGCTTCATTTCGCCAAGCCAGTTTTTGTTAGTGTCGAGGCACTGGTATTACCATGTGTAGTATACATAGCTTGCAGTCTAAATAAATTGTCAGACCTAGAATGTATTTGTCTTACTAGGGGCATAGCAAACAGCTGCTTCAGTATTATCGTGGCATATAGCTGCCCCCGGCTCTCTGGTTCAAATTCATGGTGGCAGCTGTATCCATTGGCCCCATGTCCAGCTCCTCAGATCCTGTTGGTGCTCAGAGGTTAGCTTTGAAATATAATTCCACAGCTGGAATTATATAATCACAGAATATAATTCTGTGGAATAATTCCACAGCTTGCTTAGGATGTGTGGAAGAGTGTGTGTCCTATTGTTTTACCAGCTGATTTGGACTATCCATGGGAATTCATGGTAGGATCTATAAATGTTAGCTGTCTTATAAAGACCATGTTATACCTTTTGCCGAAGTGTACAAGGTATAAGACAACACCTTAAAATCCTCATACTTCTGTTCTGTAAGTTTACTGTCAGATCTTACTGTCTGTGCTCTCCCAGAAGCTCAGATTTTGCAACAACCCCATTTATTTTATAGGTGTTTTTATCTTAGATTCACTGATTACAGGTTTTTTAACTAATATGTCTGTGATGCTTGGTGTATTTACTTTAGTCGCACTGAATTTCTGCTTTCAGTGCTGGATTTTCCAACTACCCTTTTGAAAGAATTTGTTTTTTTATTGTTATAACAGCTGAAGCCTGTTTTAGTTTTCTGTGTGAACAAAATGCGGTAATTTTGCAAAACATGCCATAAAACTATTGCCACTAAACATAGCAGTACCAGGAATTTATTCCACTGCAAAATTAAGACTGTTTTAAACTCCGCATGTCAGCGTCTCTCCACACACCACAAAAAAAAAAAAGGTTTGAGGTCATCAATTTTTTTATATGTTGGAAGCACAAAAGAGCACCCTTTTAATTTATAGTCTTGACCACAGAGAGAGACATACTGTGACGGTATTGTTGTTTGTGAGAAACCTCTTTGTGCAACTGATGGTTAAAAAAATGGCTAAAATAAAACATTTCTATTCATTCTGATTTTTTGTAATATACATGGAACGGTCGATTTGAGTAGTAAACCAGTGCGATTTTAGGCACTATATGCTCACAAATAACATTTGTTTTCTGAGGTTATTTAAACATATTGCGATATATAGCGTATGGTGATGTAGCCAAAAAATATTGCGATATTAGATTCTTTTCATATCGCACAGCCCTACCTCCTGGTAGGACATGTGGAACACCTTACCTAGAAGGTGACAGCTTTAGCCTTTGTTGGTGATGACAGTTTCAAGACACCTCCTGTCTGGAGAAACTTGCATTGCTCAAGTGTGATTTTGGCATTTAGACAGTCTTCAAATTCCAAAGGTTCCTTGGACCTCATCTATGAACTCTCAGCTTCTTTCCATAGATTTGGATTCAGATTCAGGTCTGGGCATTCTAGCAGCTTTATTTCTTTCTCTGAAACCAATTGAGAGTTTCCTTGACTGTGTGTTTGGGATCATTGTCTTTCTTAAACTTTCACCCTTATTTTATCTTCATCATCCTGGTCAATGGCTGCAGAATTTTATCAAGAATGTCTTGGCACATTTTTCCATTCATCCTTACTTCAGTTGTATGAATCGTGCCAGTGATGTATGCTTAAAAACAGCTGCACCTCCCTTTTTTCATGTGTTCAAAACTTGAAAAACGATGTGTTTTCACATTATCACACTAATTTATGAACAACTATAGTTTGATTTCTTTGCATGTATGGATTGGATGGGTTGTTAACAACATCTTGTAAGAATTTCATGTCAATAGCACCTTAGAAATTGGTGACGGGTTCAATACTTATTTTACCCGCTCTATGTCCAGATACTAGTTTACCATTAACTTGTTGTAGTATATGAGCTGGTATACTTACTATATCAACTCATATACTACTTCCTCTCTGTGTTAAGTCCCAGGGATGCATGTCTACATTAACCCGGGTGGTCTTAGAAACTCTTGCAGTGTCATTTGTTCATCAATAGGGGTTCTCTGCAGTCAATACTGCTTTGAAAAGATATTGGAGGGTGTGGTATGCCTTTATCTCCTTGAATCATAAGCTGACAGTAAAAAGTGGTTCTTGTCTATATGACAATTCAAGTTTGAATTTAGCAGAAAAATAGCTTGGTTGGTGATGTTGCCTAACAACAAGAATGTTTACAGTTTAAGCCATGTAATTTCCCTCCACCATAATGTGTCGCATGTATAAAAATAATGATCATAATTAAAAAGCTTTAATCTTGAAAATAAAATGGTTTGGTACTGAATGAGTGGCGCAATGATCATCAACTTTTAAACTATTTATAACACCTGAATGAAATGTAATGCATAAATAATACAACAAAATGCTGTGCTCAGTTCCAAACCAAATGCAACAGGAAACAGGAAAAACACTGTTGATGTTTTTGATCCTAATAAAGTATAGTTTTAGAAAACACCCATTTCTGGTTGGGGAAATTTCACCCAAATATTGTAGACATTTAAAATGACATTTGCATGATTCACTGTCTTTTTATTGTTTTGGTAGGATAAATAAGCCCAGTGCCTTTTGGCTATGGTTTCATTGTTGTTGTTACTAGACTTTGTTGTTCTGATCTTTGTAATTTGAAAATACTTTTTGAACTAAGCAAAGAAGCAAAAAACTAACCTTGGATATTTATTTAGGAATCAATATTCTACAATCAACATTCTGCTGGACTTTACCATCTAGATTAAAAACCTAAATCTACTTCCTCTTTTCTGACATTGTAACTGCTTATTTCATGTCAGTGTATACATTCAACATTCAGTTTGTTTGTCAGGTCAGGTTAGTCCAGCTTGCTAAATGTCTCTTTTTATCTTTTCAGAATATCAAACCAAAAGGACAAAATGGCATCGGACTCTCCGCGCAGACCGAGTCGTTGTGCTGGAGGGGTTTTGGTGCGAGCGCAAGCTGCTACGTAAGGACACGTCTTTGTCATCTATGAGGAAACACATGCACTGTATTTCTAAATACCAAGGATAAGAAATAGTGTACTTGATGAAATTGGATGTTCGATGATTCATGTGATCTCATGAATTGAGCCTCCTTTAAGTGTTTTTACACAGTAGTGTATAAAATCTTAAGCCACCCCTCATTACTTGATATTTTGCTATTAAAATGGATGCAGCGATCTATTGAAACATGTGCAAACATATATGGCGCAAACAAACTTTGTACAATTCTCACAAGCTTGATAGTCAATATTTGGTATGAGCACTTTTATTTAAGGATATTCCAAAGCTCTTCTTTGTTCACTCACTCCTTTTGTTTCATTTTCTGACAAGATGATCCAACATTACTTCAATTATTTTGAGGTCCAGACAAGATTTGCTACACCACTGGTCAAATGCAGTTCCAAACTATGGAACTATGTTTTACAGATGACTGTGATACACAGTTCTTTGCCTTTAACATATCAAGAATTAAAAATTTGGATTATTCACTCAGTAGTTGATTTAACTAACACATCTGTGTTGCTGTTGATTTTTGGTCCAGTTTTTGTGTAATCTGGCATACTTCAGCCTTTTCCATTTTTTCAAGGACACACTCCACATCATGCTGAGATCATGTTTTCAGCTCAAAGCTCTTTGGAAAAACACTGAAAGACCCAGAGAAAGACAGGCGAACTACTGCTCAAGAACACTTCAAAAATTACAAAAAAGTCCAGCTCTTTGAAAGCAAAATGTAAAGAAATGAGGGGCTATTCTTGACTGTGCATCCATTTGATACTTACTTTTGCTTATGCATTAATGTTAGGGGGTAATTCCAATGCATTCTGCACATTTGTTATGAGCTTTTTGTTTTTACAGGGAGCAGTCTTACATGGAGAGTGTTGTGACCTTTCTGCAGGATGTAGTACCTCAGGTAACTTTCCTCTGAATAGACAACAACATTATTAGCAATTAACATACAACATTGAAAAACCACACTGAAAACAAATGCTAAATATTTTCACAGCCTGTCCCTAATTTTATCAGTTTCATTGATACTCGATGTACATTGATTAGAAACCAGAAAGGCAACAGGGAGGGCCTGGTTGAAAATGCAAATGCAAATATAGTGTTGCAGATAGGCCTTGCATCCTTTAGTATTATTCCTCAGTGTTGTTCATGTTTTTGCTGCGTCTGTTTTTCTTTCTACAGGCGTATACTGGGGCTCCACCCACTGATGAGAAAGAGAAAATCATTTGGGTTCGATTTGAGAAAGCTGACATTAATGGTATGAACTCATGACTCAAATACTGAAAAGCTGTAGTCATCCTCTGTGTATACACTGATCTACTAACTTAAAACTTTAAAAAGTCTATAATACATTATGCCTTTCCAACAATGTATTGTAACAGTGTTACAAGTTTTAACTTTACTGTTATTTACTATTGCTCATTACACATTTTCTGTTTGCAAAGACACTGCACGCAACCCAGAGTTTATGGAGATGCACAGTGGCACTACTGACCCTCCACTCTGCCTCATGATTGGCTATACTGATGGAATGCAGATCTGGAGCGTATCTGTAAGTTGCATCTAATTGGTCCTTTTTTTTCTGCCTTAACTTTTCATAGCTGTGATCACTTCAGTTTGTTTTCAGTGTAAGCATCAGTTAGTTCACTGGTGAGCAAGTATTTTAAACCTTTCTAAAGAAAGTGAAGCTTTTCAAATTACAAAGTGTCGATAACTCATCTATAAATATGTCTGTGTGATTTTCTGCGACTCATTAGTGATACTCCTTTTTTGAGAGTGTCATCAACCAATATTTCCAATCTGAAAGATTAAAATAAACACAGCTTTTACTATGTCAGCAGTCAACATTTGTTAAGCTTGTGCAATTGGAGGAAATAAACTGTGCACTTACTGGGCTCAGAACTCAAATGTTGGCTACGAACATTTGCTACTCTTGGACCTGACTAAAAAATGCATATTAATTTGTAACTTGCTATAGCCAAAATACTTGCTGGCAATTCATTGAATGAAATGCTAGCTCGTTAAAATTTAAGTACCAATGGTGTCCATGTATTCTACTGTAATGTGCTGTCATGATAGCTGTGTTGGAAAACGTTTCTTTTTTTCCCACAGTGTTTGCTAGTGGTTATCTAGTAATTAGTTATTAGTTATCTTGCTAATTGAATTAATTGAAATTCTCAAGAAAATGTTTTGAATATTTTATATCTTTATGGTTGAAAAAATAATGAAACTGTACACAACTATAGTCACATTGAAATGCACACAAGAAGCAAGAATGAAATAAAATCACTCAAGTAGGTTCGAAGATATTAAGAAGTAATATTGCAAATGAAGCTTACTAAAATAAAGTTAAACAACTAAATATGTTCTTATGAATCCCTGTGGCTAACCTGGATCTAACCTAATCATCACTTCATGCTTTAAAGTCAAGAATGTGTTGCAGTGTAGGTCCGTGTCCACTAGCCGGCGATGTTGACCATGTTATCAGTTCTTTGATACAGATAGATGCACTTCTTACAGCTCGTATCATGTCTGAGTACTACGTTAGGCATGTCCACCTTTTTGTGAGTAAAGGCTACAGAGAAAATGAAAAAAAGAGTAGAAACTCACACAGCAACCACATCTTCACGGGGAAGTGTGGCCACTCTTTGCAGTACAGAACAGATTCAACACCTAATGCTCCTTTTAATGTTGTTCTTTCAGTGCCTGTGTTTATCACAGGTTTAAAAAGCCTGGCACTGACCGAGTCTTTTTAACGGTGTGGGAATCAGTCCATTACAGCTGTTAGCTACTGCTGAAACTCTCCTACATGTCCATCAAAATTCATGTAATCACATTATCATGATATGTATCAAGACTGTACAAACCTATGTTTGTTTTTAAAGCAACAAAATTTACTTTCATAGCTAGATGATATAAAAATACACATGGTACTGACACATAAGACTAGTGAGGAAATTGTGATTGTGCAGTTCAGTTAATGAAGGATACATAATTGCAATATTAAGCAAGTACTAATCATAATAATATGACTTTAACCATCTTAACTATTATCAAATAATATTATTAATATTATGATTTAAAAAATTAATGAGTATATTAATTAATGATGTTTTAAGTAAAATGTAGTTGGTTCTATTGTGTGTCCAGGATAATTTATAAATGTATTGTGAATGATACCTGCAGTTCTGCCACACTGCAATGTCATGTTGAATGTAGCCACAAGGTGGAGACCTATTGATAGGCTGCCATGTTATGACATGCTACTGACAAGATATGGATTAATGTGACCTCTGTTATCTGTAGGACGGCTCTGTAATAATTATCTGTGGCAAAATGAGTCAAAGTAAAATGTTGTTTAGGGCAAAAGTGTTCTGTTTGGCTCGTATTTCTTTTTACATAATGTTGGTGAAAAAGTAGTTCCTGTCTTCAAATATGTTGGTAACTTGGACAGTGTTAAACCTCGTAGAGCCCTCACCCAGCAGAGTGGGCAAGTAATTTAGTCTTTATAAAAAACGACTTCTTCAAAGTCAGACTTGGAAAATCATTAGAAGATTTTGTCAGCTTTGTAACTTAACAAATTATCCACAACACTGCGAAGGCTTCGCTCACCGAGTATCGCCTTTCATGTGGAGGCTGTCACAGAAATATGCAAACTTCACATACATCCTGTGAGATCTAAACACACCGAAGTCCTTAATCAGTCTCTTTATAAACATCCACAGGCCACGGCTAAAAAGACACACTCTTACTTTATTCATGATCCCACACGTTGACCAGAATGATGTGGCGAATCTCGTGTTGTGAGCAGACTTTCTGTTGCATTGTGGAGGAAAGGATTACAGCTGTTTTAGCAATGCTACACACACCCGGTAAAATAGCCTTCTCCGCCTTTCTGTTGCAACTGACACCGATTCTGCAGCAGGCCGGCCTGTTATTACACACTTTCCTTTCCTATTGTTTTCCTTTTAAGTTTTCAGAGTTTCCAGGATGTTTATGGGTTATGTTTTTTTCACAGGCTTTTTAAGTAAGCACCTAAGGTGCCTTGCTCTCTGGCTTTTGAGTGGCCGTGAAGTGTTTGTGACAGTTGCTAAGCCAACACCCTCTGTAATGGCTCACCAGAGTACGAACACACATTTACACACATGCTTTCACAGACTCACGAGGCGGGGACTCTGACTGGTTGTATGGATACTGACAGAGGTGTTCAGGTGATGTAGATTACCGTCACCTCTCACTGGAGAGGTGTCACCGAGCACTGTGTGATAAGAGGCAGACTGTCATAGACTAATTGTCTGCGACTGTGTTGATGAAATGCTAAAGTAAAATGCCTGAGTGTGAGTCGATGTGTCGAGGAGTTGGAGCCATCTTACCTCTCCTTTATAATTCAGAAATATTAATCCATGGATGGACATGGGGAGTTTTTGTAATCCAGACACTGATATGCAAGTTACACAGAAGGAGAGAGCTAGTACAATCTGTTTAATCTGCCATAGCTGTGCAGGGTTATTTATGTTTAATCAGTTTGAATTTATGTGCCTTCCCAAGGCTAATCATTGTCCGCTAATCCTGTTTATTAGAGCCTACTAAAATAGCATTTATTTCTAACACTAAAATTCAAGTGTTAATCTTCATTTGAAAACTCTAGGCTCTGATATAGGTGTGCTTATTTTTTTTCCCTCCACAAACTCAAACCATGAACTAATTTCATAAATAACTAAACATTTGTTATGTGTAGTTATTTATTTGTTCAATTACTCTCTGCTTTGATGATTGTGTTTGTGGTGTTCCACACACGAGGGAAGTCGCAGAGTGGACAAACTATGCAACATCAGCACTCATCTCTCCCTTTATGGGCATTGTAAATGCTGACACTGATAGATAAGCAACCGATAATATTGGCCTGTTTTAAACTGTCTCCCCCTCCCCAGTGACTATATAATATGTAAATCTACAGTAAAAAAAACCCCAACAACTTTATTTTAAAATACATAGCACATCGTGGTGGGACTCTCAGATTGTTGCACATGAGCACTGAAGCAAAGTGCTTTCCTCCACAAGTCTCATTCACCCACCCATACTTAAGCGCATTTAAACATACACCCTCACACCCCTATGGATGCATCAAATGCAACGGCTCCCAGACTCTGGAACTCACTCCCTTTGAGTTTGACATCTGTGGACTCAGTCATGTCTTTTAAAAAGCAGTTAAAAACCTATCTGTTTAAACTCGCTTTTGGTTGATTTTGTTTTGTTTTAGATTTTAATGTCTGTTTTCTGCCTCTGTAAAGCACTTTGTGATTTTATCTTGAAAGGTGCTATATAAATAAAATGTTATTTATTTATTTAACTTAAAGTTCAGTTGCAATCCACTGACCTTCCAACTAGAGATCACCCACTCACCATCTGGAGCACAGCCACCCCGATTTTAAATCAGTTTTGACAGCTGAAAATGTTAAAAGCATACCGAGCATACATACAGAAATATTCACAAGGACTTCCGAATGGAAAAGTGGTGTGTAACGGAGACCCATTACCCTTACCTGTATTTTTATTCGCTTGAGGATTTGTATTTTAAAACCAACATAAAAAAGAAATATATGTATAGTTTGGTGATTCTTTATCAGGTTTGACGTTTCAGTTAGTGTTTAAGTGACTGTTTGTGGACAGTGAAGGGACAGAGGGGGACCGGCCATCCTACCGGTGTCACGAAAAACAACCTGAGCTGGAGCTGTTCACAATTTATCGTTTGCTTTGGTAAACCTAAATTCCTTGCACATGTATTTGTGTGTTAGTAAGTGTCTTAGCTGTAGGCACCTTTTCCTGGTTGCTTCCTTTGCAAGATGTGAAAGACTAAAAGCAGCTCAGTCACCTGCTTATGAGCTCCTGGAGTAAACCAATGGGCCAGGTGGGGGGAGTTTTGGTTAAGGTGTTTCTAATTGATATATAATTGATTGACGTGTATATGTTATTGAATTATTTAT